AAACTAGCAACACCAGCTTTTTTCTAGGAGAGGATTGAAGAAGAGCATTGATCTCAATGAAATATTTTGAGGGCAGAAAAATTCCACCACGTAAAGAGTGCGTGACTTCTCTTTAGTTTATTTTATATTTTTGTTCCAGTTGTCATTTTGAATTCAAACTCTTTGGAAAGCAGGCATAATAGTCTTAATGATCCCATTGAGCAGTTTAAATTCAAATTGTGGAGCACTCGCAATACCACGCTGGCAGCACTTTCCATAAATTACTCTCAAATTCAATACGTTGCTTGACAAAAACAAGAATAAAGGGCTTTTTACTTTAAAAAGAAGAAAACTTGTATCATAAAAAAAATCTTTAAATTATAGTTTCTCTTTTCTGGTCCAATTTAAATTGTTACATGGTTGCTAAATTAGTGCTGTAATCTCTGCTTACAAATTGCAAAATTATTTTTAAAAAAAGATGCAATTTTACTGCAGGGATCAACCTTACACTTTAAACCGTATGTGCTGGAGGTAGCTCCTCTTGCACAGCTTTCAACCAGCCACACTCACGTGCACACACAGGGTGAGGTTTACAATACCAGTTCCACTGAAGCCCAGAGCAGTTTTACCAGAGAATCCAATGAGCACAAATTGAGTTAACACCAATGTTGCAGAATGATTAGCAAATTTAAGCTTTCCCAGGATGCTCCCTGGTATCAGTGGCTCTAGTCATACATCTAAAAACATCAGCATTTCTCTTGTGTTGTGTTCTGGTCTGAACTATCTTCTACTGAACTATAGCCTCTGATAGGCCAGTAAGTTAGAAGCTAGTATGAGAGAGAAAACTTGAAGATATCGTTTTTTGCTCACAAAACAAATAATTGGGGGAAAAAAGTGGAGCACTATGATCCTGAGTTTAAAACTGGGGAATGGCAGTGATCAGGGTATGACTTCCATGCACAATTCTTCCCCCTTCAAGCACTTCCACAGCTTAGTACTACAGAAAGATGAGCCCCACCCTGCAAAATCCTTGTAAGTGACCTTTGGGGTAGAATTTAGGGTCATGTCCTCAGTATCTTGCAGCACACAGCAGAAACAGGAAACCTCAGTCCCTGGGTCTCCATAGGGCACTGCGGAGCATACCCACCATCTTCCCCAGCTCTAGCTAAACAGACTTGAGATGCTTTCTTTCCTCTCCTTCCACTTCTCATCATTTCTAGCTCACCACTTCTCTGAACTCTTTCATCTGACCCTGGCTATTTCTGCTTTGCTTGGTTAGTTATTTGTTTTCTCATCCCCTTCCCCATTGCACCACAGTCCTTCCCTCAGGGCCCAGTGGTGGGTCACTGACTTAGACATGAGAGAAGCAACCCTCAGAGGCCAGGAGCATCTGAAGATATTTCTGCTTTCTGTGCTACCTGCAGGTGCTCAGCACCTCTCAGCCCTTAGCCTCAGAGAGTTTATCTTCAACTGCTAACCACCAGACTGCCAGGAAAGGGGATAAAGAATGGAAGAAAATTTCCACGTCCTGGAGAAAGTCATCAGGACATCAAAGAACATCCCATTCACAAAACAGCAGCATCACTCTTGCCAGACCGGTGTGTCTGGTTAACCTTGTGTTCAGTCCTTATGATAATACAGTATTTGGACAGCAGACAGCTGGCACTGCTCTAACATCTTGATCTTCAATCTTTTATAACAACAGTTCCACTGATATTACTCTTAACCTTTTCTCTGCACTGAGTCCAGCACTAAAATCTCTTCAACTACTTAGAGGAAGCAAACCAAATGTTTTTTGTTAGTAATTTGCCATGTAAGGGAGGGGAAAAGTATATCGATAACATACTGCAGACACAGCATTCATCACATGTACAGCAGTATGCTGGTTATACTGGAAACCCTATAATGATATTTCAGATGTTACTTGACTGTCGTAATGACTAGGAGACATCTGTCTCCTATTAACACTTTATTTTTTGCAGTTGCTTTTAGTTCAGCAGAGGTGTCTTAATGGAGAAGACTGGTACTCTTTTAGAAATAACATCAATAATGAAAGAATCCTTGGATGCAGAGCAAAACCAGCAAACACATTGGCAACAGAAGTCACTGCATTCATAAGATGTAACAGGAAATGATAGTGACTGGCTTTTGGGTGGGGGGATTTTTGTGTGAAAGAAATTAACCCTGGCACTCAAATTCCCATTAGGAAAAATACCTTTTTTAAACAGGTGATTGATCTCCTTAGATGTTAATTCACACTTTTGGGGAATTTAATCTTAACTGGGTCACTGATAAATAAAACTAGAAACAAAAACAAAAAAACCAACCCTTCTGCAGGCTATTTAGGCTTGGTATTGACTAACCAGTAATTAAATACAGCTCTTCACAGTAATCTTAATTATGGCTTCACTCCACCACAACTAAGAAGAGTCACATAATAAACCGAGAAGATTAGCCAATTTTAACTGTTGAAAAACAAGTATTTTTATTTTTGCACATAGTTTTCATATGCATAAGGCCACAAGTAACACAAGGGAATTATTAAAAAAAAACCCCATAAATCAAAGAATGAACGAATTTATATATCATGACCAGGCAAATACTATAGTTAATTTTCTTTATATAAATGAAGCAGCTTGGCCTAATGGCTTGCATAATAGGTCAAGAGTTTTGGACTTGGGGAAATGGGGATATGTGCTAGAAACCAGTGAGAATTAGGTAGACCAGTAAACAAGCTTCATTGAATTACTCAGAATTATACCAGCTGAGAACCCTGTTTTCTCAGCTGGCCACAGCCATGGATTAGCAGTGCAATCTTGGGCTAGTTACACAGGCTCTACCTTTCAGGGGAATTCAGATCCACAGGAATCTGAGTCTGGGTTCTTCAGTTCCATGGATTTGCTACAGAACTAGGGCTACAAATATCCAAGTTATTTTCTGATAATGGGTCTTGGGGAAGCTCCAAAAAAAAAAAATCAAGAGGCCACAATTCAGCAAAATCCTTAAGCACAGGCTAGCTTTTAAGCAGGTCATTAACTCTCATTGACTTCAGTATGACCGCATCACACGTTTAAAGGCAAAAGCACTCAGATTGTACCTCAGCAATTTAAGGGTCCCCAATCCATTTGCAAGAACAACTCCCAAGCCTAGCTCAGGCCCTCAGTGTACTTAGGCACTCATCATCCTACTGAAGCCAATGCAGACCTCATTTCATTGAAAAATCAATGAGACGTATGCTCTGTGACAAAAATTCCGCAGGCCTAAAGCCAACAGCATGGCAGGTGCCTAGATCCCTTGTGAACATGGCTTTTGGCACAGCAGTCCTTTCTGAAGGGTATTAAGACTTAGGCTCCCAACACTTGTTTCTTCCACATTTAACAGTTTAATGTGTGCTTGGGTGGGTTTATTTTTTTTCCTTTGCTGGATCAGATTGAGTGGGAAATGGAAAGCAGGAATCTGGCACAGTACCAGCTGTACAGCTACACGTACGTAGCCCCATCAGCATTGCCATCCTTTCCCCTGCACGTGCAGCAGCAGATTGAACCAGACATGTTTTGGGTTAAGTCCATAACCAGGTTTTTGCGGACTGCATGGATAAACATTTAAAGGCCGCTTTTTGGTTATATAAAAGAAAGCTATTAGTTTACTCGTCCCGCCGTACTCAGAGCTGCAAAGCCGTATCACAGAAGGTTCAAATGCAGATGCAACCAAGCAATTATTGTTCCTTTATCACTTAAACAGATAGAAGATAAATTTGAAAGAAAATGAGGAACAGAATCCTTCTCCCTTTCCTTTTTTATCCTTTTATCTCCCAATGTATGAAGTTTACTGAACCCTTGCCAACAATTCACTCAGGCTACTGAAGTGTATAAGTAATGGGATTAAATAATCTTCAACCATTACTACAGTGGCTAATGCAGATGTTTTCCCAAACTACAGCAGATGAGAGGTGAAGAATGCATGCTTGCTTTTAAAAAAAGAGGAAAAGAAAGTATCAATCTGCAAGCAGATCAACTTCAGCCTGAAGTCAATGAAATGTTTAATTCCAGGTACATCAAGTTGCTCCAGTCATATTATGAATGCACTTTCCTAAAGTCTGCAGAGCTTTGCACATGGTCAAACTTGCCACAAAATCAACCTTAAATTTTTTATGGTGCAATCATTTTAGTGCAAACAAAAGTGGAAATGGTTTAAAAGGTACATACTCCATCAAAAGATCACTTAGTTTTTAAAAGCCAATTAACAAGGTCTATATATCACTGCCATTGTAAATAAGACAGAATCCTCCCATTTTATATTCAGTAAATTATGAGGATTATCTCTATATACTGTACGCTAAGGTCACACCACCAAGGTAAGGCCTCAGGCATGTTACGTGATGTTTCTTTAATTTGAAACTCTGCAGTGGGTTCCAACTAGCTTTTATGGAAGCCTCTTAAAAGGTGCAGCTCCTCAGAGCAACTGTTTGCTTTAAGAACTTGTTGGAGGCATGAAATTAAATTCTAGGGTACGGTAAGCTTCAAAAGATATCCAATCTAATGACCCTTAGTTCAGTAGAAGGACTTCCATCAAGCAATGTAAAGGTCTTGGTTTCAGAAGTTTTTGTGCCATCTTGCATCCCACCTCCTTGATCTTAGTGTACACATTTTGGTATCAGTTTCTCAACACAGAAAGCTTCCGAGAGCAACTACTGCTTAAAAAAAAAAAAAAATAAAAAAAAAAATAAAAAAATCACTGCACAGTCTGCTCCTTACAGGGCTGAAATAATCACAAAAAGCACCTCTTTCCTCTGCTTTGGCTGCTTTTGACCAGAACACAAGAGATAGGTTAGACCAGGAAGCAAAATTCACCCAGGAAGCTGGAAAGATCAGAGTCTGAAGGCCACGGAAAAAATGGTGCCCTTAGTACTGCCATGGGATTATCAGGTTTTAACTGTAAGGCAACAGAATAGCAATGAAAGAAATCAATATTTCCAATGTCTGTGCATTAAAATCAGGGTGCAAACAAGAATGGGTACTTACAATATAGCAGGGTTCACAGTAGGCTTTCTTCTCCACAGCATAGAAAGGCTGTCCTCTCAGCTTGTTGTTGCACATCATGCAGGTGAAGCACTCCACATGGAAGACCTGGTCCATGGCCGTGCAGCCAGTCCCTTCCCCAACAACATTCTCCCCACAGCGGGCACAGCGGCCTGTCACCAAATGGAAAGGACATCAGTCAAAGCAAGCTCCTGGTCTCAGCTGCAGAGAAGGTCCTCCCACATGCTTGTGCTGCATAGTGGGTGAGGGGGACACAGCAGCTTAGTCAACAGAAGAGCAATTTGTGCCACTGCTGGCAAAGATCCAGCACCACTGGAAGGCACTCCAGTGCTGGCCTTTATGAAAAGATCTACAGAGGCTTGAAACTGGCCCCCAAGACTGCACTGACACCACACCACACCACACCACACCACACCACACCACACCACACCACTCCACCACCACCACCACCACCACCACCACTACTACTACTACTACTACTACTACTACTACTGCTGCTGCTAGCCAGTGATCACTGTAAGGAGCCTGAGCCCCAGATGCAAACCATTCAGTCATCATCTAACCCAGCTATACAGTCATTCTCAGCTCCTCAGTTAGAGAGTATAAACCTGTGCCTAAAGCCTTGCCTCCACATGAAAGGACTTTGTGGTAGGATGCCTCGTAAAGCTGCCTGGTGGCAGCGCAATTGTTACCATTTAAAGAGTAGTTTTTGCTTGTACAGCTTAAAACCAATTCCCTCAATGGAGCCAATTACTTTTTTCTGTTTGAAGATTAATACGGATTAAGATATTGTATCTATTTAAAGCACAGAAACTATTTATTCCTCAAGAAACTGATGGGTGGATACTTTATTCTTACGGTCCTTCAAGAAAGGTGCATCAGAAGCTGCTAGGACTTTAAGTAAGGACTTTAAGTAAAGACAAGCCCTAAGAGCTCTGCCTCTTTCTGAACAAGGTCCCTAATGTCACATACAAATACACAATGCACAAAAATAAACCAGCACACACACACGTACATACAAAAGGCTTGCTGCCTTGTTCAGATTATTGTTGAAAATATTATGTAGCAGATAGATTTAAAGTGAAGACAGGATTTCAGAGAAAAAGGGTTTCTTAGATCACGGAAAAGATATTTTCCTAGAGAAGACTGTGGTGCAGAGATGATGGAAGAGGGTGGGTGGAAGGCACATCCTTACAATTTTCCTCTGCCATCCATTAGAGTTCTAGAAAATGGAGATAGTCCACACAGATCCGATGTCCTTACCCAGCAATCAGTGTTGAAAATAATTCATGCACAGTCATGGAAGGTATTTAGGACAACCTCAGCCACCCTGCCAAAGGCAACAACGCAACTATGGTCTGGGGCTTTGTCCCACTCAAAACAGTATTCTCCAGTTTGAGAATAATGGTGGTGTCCCCAGTCTTGGGACCATGCACTTCTCCTTCAAGGGTCTGTGGGTGGAGTAGTATGGTCACTGGGGGTGGGAAGGAGGGGAAGGGAAGTGAGAGCTGATATGCAGGTAGGAAGGCAGACGTAGTTCAAAACAGAACAACTAATAAATGTGTCCCTAATAAGAATTATATAATCCAGCAATGATACAGAGTTCTCTCATACCACGGTCTGTGTTTATGGGCCTTTTCAAACAAATACTGCAAAGCTTCCTGAAAGGACTTGGGCATGTCTTGTCATCCCAACAGCAGAACTGCTGTCCTTGCACAGTGCACCATCAGTGTCCCCACACTCATGACTCCTTCCCTGCCTGTCCCAGACTCCAATAGGCTACATCCAGGGAACAAAGCACGTAAGCTACTTTTGGATCCCTCAGGATGCAGCAGGATGATATATATACACATTCGAGATATATTAGGAAAGCTTGGAAAAGAACCCAGATCATTCTGATTTGCTGCAACGCCATAACCATAGTTGGCATTATACAGGACAGACGGTTCCTGATTCAAATAGCTCCCAGTTGGAGCAATGTGGAGAGAGAAGTCACCAGATAAATCCAGACAAGCCTGGAAACCCCCCGAAAAGGAATTAGTAACATTGGTTTTAAACTTAACTTTCTTTAGTATTTGTTATTAGCAGTTTGACTGACAGTGTTGTGCTTTAATCACTCCACTGTAACGTTTCTTGTGAGGACTCCTTTTTTATGAGCAGAGAAGGAATGCAGGGTTCCCAGCATGGTGATGAAGCTACAGAGCATGGGGGAAGAATGGAAAAAAACCATGAGGAATAGGAAAAAAAAAAATCCCACTGGAGAGAACCACAGAAGCAGTACTGCTCTGGGAAGGAGGCAGAAGAAACCTAGTGTATACACCACAGGAGTTGCACGTACAACAGAAGAGCACTGCTTGGGCCTGTGTGCGGACAAGACCGAGCGTGCTCCAGGGCCTTCTCCAAACTGCTCGTGTAGCTGGGCTGTAATGTGAAGAGACGTCTGGGGAGCAGTTAATATCTCTATATATAAAACATGAAATTGAAAGCCATTAGTGTATTACCTTACACAGTGTTTTTCCAGAGGGAATATTCCGCTGAAGAATTTATTTTCCCTGGTGTGCCATTCTGTGATCATCCGGTATTATTTTTATGAGGCATTTGGACACGGAATAATGTAGTGTCTATGCAAACACTTCTCAGCTTTCTTTGTTAACATCTGAGTAGAACATGTGGGAATCTTTTCTTCCCCTTCTCTTCTCACACTCATAATTTAGCCAGCTCTTGTATACTTCAACATTTATCTTCCTCCTTGACCAAGGCATCTCTCCTTTTGCTGGAGAAGCTGTCTTTACGTAGACCATACTTTAGGCTGTACTTGTCAGGAGACGTGGGTCTGTTTCCTAACTCAAAAATATACTCTTGTAATCTCTGGCAAATCACTTGGTGTCTTTGTTCCTCGGTCCTCTCTTTGAGCAAAGGGCATAAAGACAACTTCTCTGCCTCCCAAAGGTGCCCTGAGGCTACATTCCTGCACAGCTCTGAGGCATTCCCCAACTACACTGCTGGTGGCCAGGCACAAACCAAAGAGCAGCACAGCAGATGTCATGGCCAACTTCTCCCCTTGAAGTTGGTATTTCCTTAGGTTTTCCTTCCTCTTTCTGGGTTTTTCCACAGAAGATTCCCATTCAGGCAGCAACAGACTTAACCTGTCTACATTTATGAGACATCCAGCTTCTGCTATTATGTACACAGACAGAAATGCTCCTGTAAACTATCACACAGGAAAGCTTAAAGAAAGCTTCCTTTTTCATAAGTTTATATGCAAATTGTAACACTGTGGCCTGGAGCAAACCATGTTTTTCATGAGACATGGACACTCCAGTGAGAATCAAAACACAAGCTCTGTGCCTAGCAACACCGCCAACTGACTCACTTGCCCAAAGGGTAAAGCAAGGCAAAATATTCAAATTTTGGAGTTTACAGTTAGGTGACTGGATCCATGTAAAGGCATGTGGGCAGATACACAACTGATCTGGTGTGCAGCGATGCAGCCATTAGAGACTGCACCTTCTGCAGATCTTGGTGCAATCTGTGATCTCACAAGACTTCTGTAAAAAGCTGATTACTTCTCCCAACTCCTGTGCCTTGCTCAAATTTGGTTGAAAATGGCTATTAGTTTCAAGCATTGTTGGTGAGGGAGGAACTGACACAGGCACATGCACACAGTCAGTGCAATTGCACAAGCCTCATTTCCTTAGAAAACCAGAAAAACACCACTAAAAACAATGTATCTATCATTATGTCTGATAAAAACAAAACAAAGGTCTGCTTTTCCTGTGTGCCAATTACCAACGGCGAAGGTATTTGTGGTTGGACTCACCACAATTAAGTGCCCACACATGTTCCCCATTTTAATATTTTCACACTGGTTGAAATAACCCAGTCCGTTGTGTGCAGAATACCCATGAGTGAATACAGAACAAGTTGCACTGCTTATTGGGAAAGAAGTAGCAAAGGCAAAGCTTGCAAGACTCAAGAACAAACAGATTGCACAAAAAAGATTACACAAATAATCTAAGAGAAAAATAGCAGGCAGCGTATTACAGTAGAAACATAGAACAACGTGACCCATTTGCTTCCCACAGAGACAAACAGCACTTAAAAGGCAGCTTAAAGACAAAGGACAAAATTAGTACTAAACTGCATGAAGATGAAACTATGTCATTTCAACATTCTTATTTTGCCCCTTCAGCCCTTTTTAGGTCCCTTTTCAAGATCATTTCAGCAAAACTAGAAGGTGATATGTTGGCACCAAGCCTGGGAGACTGGAGTTCTCTATTTTTGCGTGACAGAGGTTCATAACCTTGGCTGTGGCCTTCCTTCAGCCTAGCCTGGCTGCCACATGTTGGTCTTACCTTGTGAGGACGTGCAGAGGTGCCCACAGAGGCTTCCCTGCTGAAACTGCTGGAAATGCCATCATTACTGAGTTCATCGCAGGGAAACACTTCAGCAGCTGAAAGGAAACATCAGCTACTACACTTTATTCTGAAACCTCCTCATTTACTCTCTTCTGTTGTATAAAATATTTGAAATATTGCGAATCTGAAGGAAGAGGGAGAAAAGGAGGAGAGGAGCTCATATTGCACATGAGGCCACATTCTAACTTCTCGTTATTTTATTACTGTTATTACATGTTTTTTGCTTATATCACCACAGATCCTGTCTGCTCAGATTGTGGAACAGCCTCATTGTGCTGCATATGGGACAAACACAGAATTCAAAGAAGGGCCCGACTGCAGGAGCCTACAATCTAATACAAGCGACAACAACTGGGTATAGATAGGAAATACAAAGAAGCAATCAGACAAAACTGATCAGCAAGGAGAACTGTGGTCTCAGCACTCTACATGTTTTACTGTTGACAAGGAGTCTGTAGACAGCCCAGCAAAGGAAAAGGTTAAGAAAGAATTTGAAAGAGTATCCGGAGGGAGTTTAAGGGAAGTTTAATGGGATGCTTCTGAGGAAAGGACAAAGACAGCACAAAAGGAAACATAAGTGCTTGAAGGTTGAACGTAGACACCTGCAGACTGGAAGGATGAGTTGATATGTCACTGGAGAATACTAGAGGAAAAAAGGGTGGGAATAGGTCATTACAGGCTGTGCAAGTAAAGACAAGAAGCTTCTGTTTGATATGATGCAGAAACGAAACCAG